ATTACTTAGCTGTCGAAGTTTGAAATATTAGAGATTATCGGATTAAAATACTTGCAAGTCCTCAAATAGCAATGTTTGCGAGATAATAATTATAAAATTCTGTAAAATATGTGAAGAAACGTACCATAATCACTTTCCATAATAAAGCCTCATTTATAAAAATATAAAGTAAATGAGAATTAACCATTTACAAAACTAGTCGTGCCTTAAGGCAAATTGCTGGAACTTCCCGTACCAGAATTCAATATTCGAGGAAAAAAACAGTAATCAATAATTTAAAAAAAAACATTTCTGAAAATTTTGAAATTTGCTTTTAAGTAAACTTTAAAAATTAACAATCTTGGTACGGAAACCAACAAAATTAATATTCATATTTAAAAATTTTATCAAATATCTGATAATTTGATTTACATATGTATAATGATCATTTTTGAGCGCCAAATATCAATTGTTTTTACTTTCTCTTCTGAAACCGCTAGACCTCTCTTACCAAAAATTTCACCAATTCTTCATTTTAATACAAATAAAATGTTTTTTGAATCATTCAAATCTGGTACTCCGTTCCCTCAAAAACTGAATTACCGTTTTTGGCACTTTTTGCCTAGTATCTTTGAAACGGTGGAATTGTCATCAATAGAAATTCAATGTTTTTTGAATCATTCAAATCGGTTGATTCGTGCGCCCGAAATCGTGGATGAATAATTGTATCCAAACATATACACACACATACATAATTTTTTCTAAGGTATGCCAAGAGGTTTGCATACCTTCAAAACCTGAAGATATGCAAAAATTTTCATTTTAGATCTTTTTGCTATCACTATAATTTACCTTACGGGAAGTTACTAAGCCAATAAAATAAAAGCGACACTTTATTACCAATATTATTATGATGAGGCAGCTTCTTCGGGAATGAGTTCGATTCGCCCTGTAGATCAATGTACTACTCTAAAAGTCAATATCTTCCATAATCAGCTTGAAATCAAGCAGTAGTGATATCTGATTTTTACTTAAGGTTGTAGATCTGAAATATGATAAGTGAAAATATCCTGAAGCAATAGTGCAATATAGCTGTTGTAAATATATCTAATATATTCTCATCAGAATGAAAATGGTCAGCCACTGGGGTGCCTTCCAGAAGTTTTAGGCTTATAGAACGCATACTTCTGACTGTTGTTCTAATATATATATAAAAGTCAACTCCTAATTTACAAAATGAGTAAAAACCAAAATTAGTACAAACAACTGAGTAAACTGAGCCGAATTGTTAAAATTATATCTGGCCCCATAGATAAGGAAATGTCTGGCCCTATTTCTCTTCTGGTGTAATGATTCATTCGTCAGATAGATCGACAGGACATGCTTCGTTATCACCAAACCGCATTCTTTTCCTTGTCATTAACTTATGAGTAATCAGAATTTGCTTATGTTTACATTCATTCTTTGCTTTGTAACCATAATCAAAAGTCAAATTCCTTGAATGAATCAACTGTAAACATTTTTTGTTCGCTCCACATTAAATCGGTTTTAAGAAAAGAGTCACTGGTAACTGATGCCTATGGGTATAAAAGCTAATCAATTAAAGTTGATGTTTATAATTAATTTTTTTTTAACTCAAGCCTTTTTCAAAAAAATATTTATTTATGTTTTTTATGCAGCTTTCTGCAGGAACTATTCAGAATTTCTTTATTTTCGGATGATTAAATATATAGAGCTAAGATGTAATTAAACAAAAGTGAAAACAATCAATAATTTAGACAAAAAATAACAGAAGCATGAGACTGAAAAATGTCTGCCTTTTTGAAATATTTAGAATTAATATTTAATTGTTATTTTTTATGGTTATTAATTTGACTAGATTGATAACAGTAAATTCGTGCCAGTTATTGTTGATGCTTTTATAAGATAATTTTAATATAACATATTAAATATATTAATATAACATTAATTAATTTATTAACTTCAAGGGAGGAAGTGGGAAGTATTGACATGTGGTATCATTCATATCTATATAAAAATATTTAAAATCATTTTTAATAATCATTTATTTTAATTTTTATGTTATTCGAACTTATATAAAACGTACTTTTACGTTAGATTTGATTTGAATAATATTAACTTCCCGTTCCACGTTTCAAAGAATTTTGAACATTTTGGCATACTTCAGAAAAAATGGATGATGTGTGTGTGCGTGTATGTCTGTGTGTGCGGATACAAAATTTGTCGACGATTTCGGGAACACGGATCAACCGAATTGAATAATTCAAAAAACATTCGTATTTATAAGGAGACGTGCTAATTAGTTTTTGGCGAAGGCAGGCCTAGACGTTCCGAAGATAAGGGGCAAAAAATGCCAAAAACGGTAATTCAGTTTCTAAGGGAACAGAGCGTCCGATTTTAATAATTTAAAAACATTATTTGTATTGACAAGATGAAGAACTGATTAATTTTTTGGGAGGCAGGTTCTGCGGTTATGGACTCTCAATAAAAATAATTTTAAAAAATGTCATTTAGCAGTCAAAAATGTTTTATTGGACATATGTACATCAAATTATCAGATATTTTATAGAGATTTTCATAATGTGTACACATTTTGTGTATTTTTTTTTTTTGGGTTCCGTACCTAGATTTTTAATTACGGTACGGGAAGTTCCAGCAATTTGCCTTAAGGCACGATGCCATGCATCCCAATAGTTTTCTTATTAATTTGAAATTGTGTTAAAATCCGTTTTTGTTTCTTGGTCTACAAGATATACCTTTATTATTAGTATTCATTTATGATTATTACGCCTTTGCCGTAATTTTTTAATATATAATATTATGATATTGTATATTTATATTAATTAATTAATTAATTTTTATGCACAAGGTAAATTTTAGGCATTTGTTATTCTATTTTTCAACGGCTCAAAATAATTATACATAGAGTTTTTGGTAATAGATGTTCCAAGTCTATTCCAATCACTTCACTTATTCTGTTTTATTTTTTAAATTAAATAGGCTTTAAAATTTAAATTGATTTACGATTAAGATTAAATGATAGGTTACGAAATTTAATTTGTGGTTTTTAATTTTTCATACTAATCAAATGAAAATTTATGATTATAATTACATGCATTTGCTGCACTTGAATCTATACTTATAATTAGTTTCTAAGAAATCAAATTTATATTACGTTTTATGTCACGAAATGAATTATATTTAATGCTTCCAGTTATTGATTTTATGATTCACTTATAGTTAAAATAATATAATCATAAAATATTGCTACTGCAGTTTATATTCTATAACAAATTGTTATAGATTGTTATTGTAACAAATTGTTATTAACAATAATAATTTATCACTTTAAAATTAAAATGATAAAAATGTCAACCATTTAGACACGTGTCTGAATATATGTAAAATATATATGTGCATTTAATAAATAAACTAGTCATAAAACTGAACAATATATTTTTAAAGCACAAAAATGTATTCATGTGACTAGTTTAAAAGCTCATTAATGCTAAAAATGTTATACGACGTAAAATGCTTTTAATATTTAGCCTTTCTTTAGAAATTAATGTTATATGTCGTTCAAGAATTTTGTGTAGATTCAATAATATTTGAAAAAATAATTTTCAACCAAGAAAAATAACAAGTGTACAAAATACTTTTGTGTACTATTTTTGACCTCGTGTACATTATTAGCGTCGCACGAAATGATCAAAATATTATTGAGCGCTTTAGTATGAAATGGAAATATTGTCCTTCCAAATAACGTTTCTTACTTTTAGGTACTGCCACTGGTGTTGTGCTAATATTATTTTACCAGAACGCTAAAATTAAAAAACCGATTCAAAAACCGGATTTTGTATTTATTTCGGTTCGTTAAAAAAAAAAACGTTTCAGACTCCGGTTTATGGTTCGAAAAAACAAGCCGGTTCGTCCCTGTTTCGGTTTGGATCAAACCCTTGTTTATAATAATACATATACAAATAAGTTAAAAACTAAAAAAAAATATTCAGCAATTTACAAAAAAATCAGTACTTCAGCCAATTTTTGATATCAAAAATCATCTTTGGGCTAGCGGTGGCGATATCGGTTAGAGCGTGGGCTAGAACCAACTAGTCCCAGGTTCGCTGGTTCGATTCCCGCTACCGCCAAGCCTGGCATTAAGTAACTTTGATGTCAAATTTCCACTTGGGATTATAGATCAAAATATAATTGCATCATTCAATCATATGTAAACTATTAGAAGTAAGAGCTAATATATAAACCCCTCACATAGGAGATTGGTAAACCAATGGGTTGCCTCTCATAAGTATAGCTTAGGTCATAAGTCTTAAACAAAACAGCTTATAGAACATATGATGTAAGAGTTCTGATTGCAGAGTTGAAGAAGAGTAAAATTGGAAGAGTTGAAACAGTAAAAAAATAAATAAATAAATAAAAATCATCTTTAAAGAAATCAAACATCACAATCATCCGAAGATTCCAAAATAAACACCTGAAAGAAATAGTAAATGCCCCTAAAATATGTATCAAATTGGCTCATACATAAAGACTTCAACATTAATAAGTACATTCCAGATCCATAGCAACAATTATAAAAACAGACTTGTAAACCACCCAAATTTATGCGTAAAAACACCTTTTGATGGTCCACAGGAATGAAAGGAAAAGACCACTCTCAGACCTATAACAGCAAATACGTTACCATCATTACCCGGATGTACAATTAATTGATTGGCATTCGATTTAGACATTCTACAAAGGATTATCAAAAAATTTGCTTATATTTTATTATGTAATAGGTGCAAATATATGAAAACAAAAAAAAATCATCTCTAGTTCCGGCGCGTTTTCCGGCTCACAAACACCTCAGGGTACTACCCAGGCATTTTGATTGTTGTTGTAGATATAATATTATAGAAGTTCTTGTGCTACATGCTTAATGTTTTACTATATCTTTAATCAAGTTATTTGCTCACGAAGTTGACTTTCTTTGTTTTCAGAATAACAGCGTGACACAAATCCAACATGAAATCTGTGAGCAATACAAAGGCGCGCAAGCCGGTCGCACCCGACGGCGGCTGGGGCTGGATGGTGGTCCTAGGATCGGCCATGGTCACGGTAAGAATTTTCACAATTAAAATAATAATCTGGCCAAGCCACTGATGTAGGTGATAACTATCAGAAGACTAAACTAACTAGGGCTGTATGGCATCGTGCCTAAAGGCAAATTGCAGAAACTGTTCGGGCCAAAAATTATTTTTTTTAAAAAAAGATTAAATTTTTTTGTACAAAAAATGTTTTTTTTTATTTTGAACTGTTTAACAAAGCAATAGCACTGCTTTACCTGCATGCAGACGAAATATCGAAGCGCGTAAGCGCCGCGTCGCTGTCTAACGGACAAACGATGTTTCCCATAGAAATATAAACAAAATTGATACACATTATTAAAATATCCATAAAATATCTGATAATTTTATGTGCATATGTCTATGATCATTTTTGACCGCCAAATGGCATTTTTTCACTTTTTTTACTAGATATCCGAAACCGCTAGACCTGCTTTTCCAAAAATTCAATCAGTTCTTTATCTTGTCAATACAAGTAAAATGTTTTTTGAATTATTAAAATCGGACGCTCCGTTCTCTTAAAAACTGAGTTACCACTTCTGGCACTTGTTGCCCCGTATGTTCGGAATGGCTAGACCAGCCTTTGCCAAAAACTAATCACCTCCTTATCAATATGAATCGGATGTTTTTTGAATTATTCAAATCCGTTGATCGGTGTTCCCGATATCGTCAACGAAAATTTGTATCCGCGCGCACACACACACACGTACATCAATTTTTTTAAGGTATGCCAAAATATTCAGAAACCTTTGAAACGTAAAGATATATAACAATTTTTTTGTGATTTTTTTTTGCGATTACTATAACTTGCCCTACGGGAAGTTAAAAAACATTTTTAGATTTAGTAGGTAGAGTAGAGCGGGGCACAAAGGCCCAATTTGACTTTGAGCGATTATATTGCGAAAACCAAACCAAACCAGCAAATAACACATAACGAACAAACCACTATCTGACCATGTTCAGAAAAAATCTCTGCTAATTCATCATAGTATAATTGTTTTGTATAAAATTTTGTAACCGGTGGTTACAAAATTTTTACCCCATAGGCGGGGTAAATATTATTATAAAAATTTAAAAGTTATTCAATGTAGAGTCGAGGAAGACTTGCATTGCTAGATTTTTACGACGATCGGTCGTGTCGTTTCTTTAGAATTAGTAGAAAATGCAGATTTCTTAACCTTCAACTAGTGACTTTCAACTTCAAGTAATTTGAGGAAGAAATATTTATAAAAATCAGTTTTTCTATAATAGGCATAAAAGTTTGTAATAATTCTATAGTACAAATATGTAGAAAGAATTAGCTAAAATATAATATGTAAATGAACGGTGTTATCTATTTGTATTTGCATTGCATTTTTCAAGTTATATTAATTTATTTATTTGTTTCAATTTCCTTCCGATTATAAAAAATTTTCTTATTGAATTTTCTATCTTATTGTTAGTGTTTAAGATTTGAGGATGAGTTCAAAATCTAAATTTAAAAATGTGAATTAGCTTAAAAAAATTTCTAAATAAAAAAATATATCAATACAAATAATATTATTGTAAATAAGCTTTGTGGTTTAAATTCGTTTGTGAATATTTGACTTATATCTTGAGATATAATTAAATACACCGTTAGTTTTCAATAATTATTACTTGAATAAAAATATATAAAATTTTATGAATAACATTGATTAATAATCATACTATAAATGTAAATCGATATACATATTGATGGGTTTTATGGAGATTTTCTAATTTGTCGAATCAGCTAATGAACCTTTCTTAAAAAGAAAAGTTTAAATTCATGTACAGAAATATTGAGAAGTTCACGAAATGAGCAATAATAAATAATTATGGGACCATGGAAATGGTAATCACTTTCTATTTTCTGTATTTTTTCTTCTATTGATTTTTCTTCACTAAATAATAAATGATAAATAAATCTATCACAAGTCCAAGGTAATGAGGTTATCGACCTATTTTAGTAAATGTCAGATTTATTTATTAGTCATGTAAGCAAATTTAGCTTTCAAACTGGATTGGCATGGTAATATATACTTTGAATTGTATTCCGACGTATATTGCACACTTTCTTCTTTCGAGAATCATTGATGTTTGAAGCAAATTTTTAGTTTGTTTTATTGTTGAGTTGCCGGTAAATGTCGAACGTGTTATCACTGCAAATGTAGAAAAATCCATATTTGTAATAAATAATGACCTTGTAGAATCGTGTCAGTTTGTATAGATATCGATGAGTAGTAAATATTTTAAGATAAGTACTTTATAAGTCATTGTCAGCATGTGTTCTGATAAAAAATCCATTATAGGTATTTTGAAATACTATAGATAATAAATAATTTGATTAATTATCTGGAAAGCTATTGAGCAACTCTTACCTACTAGTTCGCTCGCTTGCTGTTCAATTCTTTTGACAAATTCAAACTAATAAATAATGAAAGAGAGTTGCAATAAAAATACAAAGAGAATTAAGTAATAAAAGCTTAGTGTCACAATACAATTTTTTGTTCTTTCAAAATGGTCAAGAATTTTTTGATTCCGGAGTCGTGCTATAGTTTCGAGAAAAACGAATTTTGAGACAAACTTGAAGGCATATTCAATTTTTTTCTAATAAATATTGATTTAATTAATATTTTAATAATAATCATCTTTAACATATCATTGAGAGTTTTGTTATCTCAGTTCCAAATTAGTTTCATCATGCTTTCTCAATAAGGTCAGATTTTCTGACAAAAGTTTATAAAAATATTTTAATATTATATCGAATTAACATTTTTAACTTCACGTAGGGCAAAAGTTATAGTAATCGCAAAAAAATCGAAAATAAAAGTTTTTATATATCTTTACGCTTCAGAATTTCTGAATATTTTGGCATACCTTATTTTTAGAAAAAATGGGTGTATGTGTGTGTGTGCGGATACAAATTTTCGTCGACGATTTCGGAAACACGGTTCAACCGATTTCAATTATTCAAAAAACATTCGATTCCTATTAATAAGGAGATGTGCTGATTAGATTTTGGCATAGGCAGGTCTAGCCGTTTCGATGATACGGGGCAAAAAGTTCTAAAAACGGTAACTCAACTTTTAAGAGCGTTTCTAACAAAAGTTCAAAATTGCCAAAATATATCAAAATAAAAAAACATTTTTTTCCAAAAAAGTCATTATTTTTCAAAAATTTAAAATTTCTCAAAAATCTAATTTTTTCAAAGTTTAGAACAAGTTTAATCTTTCTTAAAAAAAAATTATTTTTGGTACGGGAAGTTCCAGCAATTTGCCTTGAGGCACGATGCCATACCCCACTAGCTGTATTAATATTTCTTTAATGCTAATTGCAAAAAATACCCTATTTTAAGCATCATGTATTCTAGTCATAATTTGTTTATATAAAAAAATAATGATACATCATTGTCACAAGTTAATGATAATTTCAATTTTGCTGAGATTTATGTTGGCAGGTACAGAATTTAAAAGATTACTCGATTGTTGCTTTATGAGTGTTACTACCATTCTAGTAGATTATTGTACGAAGAGTTCTTGACAAAAATAAAACATTGAGAGAATTTTATCATTTTATAGCTAGCGACCAGAGCACTGGAGCCTTCATTCGGTCTTCTATTTGGTGATCTACTAGAACGCCTTAACGTTGAGACAACGGGTGCTGCGATCATCAACAGCACTTTGGATTCTATCGTCAATTTTTCTGGAATATTTGTTGGTCCACTTATTCAGAGTTTTTCCTTCCGAAAAGTGTCTCTTGTGGGATCTGCTCTCTATGCTCTGGGACTGATGGCAACGGCGCCGGCCGCCAGTATGGGACACATACTTACCACATACAGTATTATTGGAGGTGAGTAATTAATAGATCTACATAAATATAGACGAAGCTTGATTATCTTATATTATCAGCTTTGTACTGTTGTTTGTCTTCTTGCTGATTTTCTCATCCATTGTTTTAAGCACCTAATGTCTTGAGCAGCAAAATATTATAAAACTTCATAACAGCAGAAAAAAATTATATATTTGTTTTATTTTAGGACTAGGTGTTGGTTTATCTTCATCTGCCACTTTTGTAGCTTTAAATCATTACTTTCAAAAGAAACGAGGACAAGCTGTAGGATTGTCGATGGCTGGCGCGGCTGTTGGAATGTTGGCTATGCCACAGGTATTATATTACAATAGTAGTTTCAAAATATTGATAGGTTGGAACAAAATGGTGTAATATTATGAATCTAGAAAATAGAAGATCCCAAGTTCTTTCCCCATTTACCTTTGTTTTGATTCTGCACAAGTGATCAAATGATTGATCGTGTTCTTAATTGTATATGCATACTAAAACATAATTTTTCTATTAGGCAGTGAGATTACTTCTAGAAGCCTATGGTTTTAGCGGAGCGCTTCTGATTTTGGGTGGAGTAGCGCTTCACGCAGTTGTAGGGTCCGCTCTTTTGCAGCCTGTTAAAAGATATTTAAAAATCGCTCCAGTAGACCCAGAAGCTAGAGCTCAGGTAAGAGTTAAATTGTTGCTGTTAAGCATTTGGCCCAATGTTATTGGTAGTACAAATTTCTCAATTAACGATTATTGAAGTCATGAAAAAGTACTTATTTTATTGTTAAGATAATCAGATTTATTTCTATTGTACATCAGGAGATGTGCACCATCAGAGAAAGTGACGACGAATCCTGCGATCAGGCATTAAGCCCCGGACAAGATCTGAACAAACCGTTACAATCTCCACTGTTGCCGCATTCAGCTGAATCACGAGGTCTGCGAAATATTCCAACGGCGATTTCTATAGCAGGAAATGTGCCCCCTCGCCGCCGCAAAGCGTCCGTCATGTCCAACTTGAGCGCGCACATGGATTTTACTGGAAGCTCACTGCACATCACGTCCGAGGTGAGAACGTAGCCAAAACGTATTTATTATCACCATATTTCTAATTTTTCTACTATGATATCTCAATAGGAATCTTATATAAATAAATAATCGGGCTTATAAAAGCATTTAGTACATCTAACACACGTTCGTTAGCGCTGAGAAAAACATGAAACGATTGGCGCCTTGCAATTCTCAGGTGAACGAAAGCGATGACGACGATCAAGGAATCCAAATCATGCGCCGAGTCTATAGTCATGCAGGCCACCTAACGACCATGTCCAAAGAGCAGCCCTCCATCAAACGAAATATGTCAGACCAGCGGCTACCGGTGAATTATTTCAACCCGAAAACGATAACACGACCTGTGATCACAAAACAGCCCACTAAACCACCACAAGAGTCGCTCAACCAGATCACTGTCTGGCAGAAGGTCATGTCAATGATGGATCTTAATCTGCTGAGAGATGGGGTTTTTCTTAATATATTGCTGGGACTATCCTTGTTCTACGTCGCAGAGCAGAACTTCAAAATGGTTACCCCGTTCTTTCTGCACAGCCTGGGTTACGATAAGAATGATGTTGCCTATTGCCTATCTATGACCGCTATATCTGATATATTAGCGCGAGTTGCATTGCCACCCATATTCGATAAGCTGAACGTGTCCAGGCGACTTGTTTTCCTAATTTCATCCTTGGGACTAGGACTTATCAGAACAAGTTAGTACTACATCATTTATTGTTAATTAGATATAGAAATTAAGTGTTACGTTGAGAAAGTTTGCTTCTCTATTAACGAAGCAGCTTGTTTATCGTCGCGGAATACAAAAGCAGAATTTAGCCATTTTTTTTATTTTTTAAACAATAAATTATCTTTAGGCTATAAACAAAGCAGATCTCGAACAAGTAAAATCAAATATTTTATTCAATTAATGTACAACATAAAATCAGTTCAAAATCAAAACTTGATTTAATATTTATATGGTTAAGTATATAGATTATTTTTGCAATCAATTTAACAAAAATCGCGAGTGAGCGTACATTAAATCTTGTGCGAACACTTCTGCATGTCCTTCGAGACTCTTTGTTCAGGACATCATAAAATACAATCTTTTTTTTGTCACTTAATAAATGCTAGATATTTTTATGAAGCACTATCTCAAGGCATATCGCTAATAAGACATATCTTACAGTTTTAGCAGAACAAACAGCTTGGATTCCAATCATGGCCTGGTTATCAGTATCCGGGTTTTTCAGAGGTGCGGCTTTAAGCAACTTTACACTTACTATATCAGAGCATTGTTCATTGGAAAAGCTGCCTGCAGCTTTTGGACTACACATGGTGGCTAAGGGTTTATTTGTTGTAGCTTTGGGACCATTATTAGGTGCGTATTAGCTTAAATTAAATTATAATTATTTGTATTCAGATTTTAATAACTAAGATATGGTTAACTCCTAAAAAATTGCACAAGATAGTAAATAAACACTGAGTTTTAATCCAAATAATTTCTTAATACATACTCAGCTGCACAAATGGTTTTTGAAAATTTGACCAGAGTTTGAAATTTATTGTGATGAAATATAAATTGTTGAAATGAAAGTTTTTGGATGAAAAATTAAATAATGATTTGAGTAAAACTATAAAAAATGTGAATATTTATAGCCAAGAGTGTTGTAACTAAGACTTTTTTATTATTTTATAGGTGTTATTCGAGATATGACGGGCAGTTACCCATGGTGTGTGCACTCGCAAACATTTTTAATAATACTGTGTGGCATGGCATGGGCAATGGAGTACATCATACTCTGCTGTAGAAGAAATACGACTAAAGAAATAGATATAAAAAACTAATTAATTCACTTTGTGATATCAGACTTAACTATAGGACTTTATATGAAAACATATATTATGTAATATGACATTGTTTTAAATCATTATTTGGTTGTTGCCAAGATTATCATGCATCAATCATATTTATATTTATGTATTGAAGTTGTAGAAGAAGATTTGAATGAGTGGTAGGTAGTATGATAAAATTTTGTAAATCTGTATTAACAAATATATTATTTTTAAAGTGTTATTTACAAAACTAATTTTATTTTTGCTCACTAACGCAAAATACTGAATAATAAAAAGTTTTATCAGTTTTTATTATCCTATTTATTATTTATTTAGTTTCACAATGTTATTTTCAATTGTCACACCCTTTATTTTGTTAAGTTTTTTCATAAAATATTTGTCAAAATCTACCGTCAATAAATAGCTTTCAACAAGCTTTTTACGTAATGATTTCATACTGATCTCGTTGTCATTAGAATTCAAGCAATTAGTAATTTCCTTCTTCCATTCAAACTTCACATTTGATTTAGTATCGCCATTTTGATCACCTACTAAATTTTCTTCAGGAGTCTCAAGTTTATTATCTACATTAGTAGGTGTATCATTCTCTTCTATTTTATGCACTTTGCTAACATGGTCAGAGTCATCATTTTCTAACTTTCTTTTATTATTTTTTCTCCTTCGCAGCCATTTAATTTTTCTGATACTTCTTCATTACTATTTTTATTATTTGTTTCAGGTTCTTTCTTTATTTTATCTTTCTGTTTCTCCAAAAGAGACCAAACTTCCTCCAGTACATCATCTTTCGTTCGACTTACAGCACAGTTCTTCATAAAGTTAAAAAATTTAGCTTTTTTTCTAGGAACATTCTCAAAAGTTGCTAGTTTTTGTAAAACCTCCTTCACGGCTGGCCTGGCGTTCGATTCATTAATGACAGACTGAATAGCATCGATCCAAGAAGATTGTTTGGCTTCACCTTTATTGGTTTTAGCAACGTAGCTTTTGTCAGAGTATCTTTCCATTTCTGTTACACATTTAACATGAGCTACATATTCCTTTTCCCTATAGAAATCATTAAATATGAAAAATTACCATCAATGAAAAGATAATAAAATCATTAAATATGAAAAATTACCATCAATGAAAAGATAATGTATTAATTCGGACTTACCCAAAATCCTTGTGACAATCAACACAGGTGAGATTAATAGGATTTCTTGAACATGCGGTTTGGTAGTGTTTTTGAACTTTCGGCTTTTGTAGAGAGTCTCCACAATTATTACAGGTAAAATAAACCATTTTAGTACAAAATACCTTCAATTATCGAAATATGATCAAACAATATTTTATGCACTCTTTCTATTGAAGCACGTGATGAACTACCTTCTTGTGGGGCTTTTTGATCAAAAATGATAATTGTTTAAGGTAAAAATACTATTAAGCACATGTACAATACATTGATATAAAAGTCAAATAACAAGTAGTGGGATAACCTCAAACAAAAGTGTGCTGTATACAAAGGTTATATGATAATGTTGGCAGCAATGGCTTCAAATTGAAAACTTTGACATATGGCAATACTAAAAGTATGATTGTTTTGTGTCCCAAGTAATCCTGAAACGTTAAATCAGTTTTCTATTTTTGTTAATGAATCTATTTTTGTATGGTTAAAAATGGATCACAAATATCGTAGTGTTCTCAAGGATGTGAATAGTCAGCAAAACATGGTACGTTTGATTTAAAGACTACTGCGTGATATTAGATAAATAAATTGTTTTACGTTTGGACAATTCTTGTGTAGATTTAACAGCCAAATTTGAAAGGTTTTTGGCGTTATTTTTAATGTCTATCTTCTTTAAATAAAATACTAAGCCTGATTTAAAAATCATTTAAGCATGTTCATATTGTATATCTATTGATTGAAATGCATTTCTATATGTCAGAGAGTATAAAAGAATATATATTTCTATTGCAGAATACCCCACATATAAATGTTTTTGGAATAAAAGCTGAAGGTCAACGACAAACACAGAATTTGCAAGGTATATATCTATTTAATTGATACAAAAGAAAATAATTGTGTGGAATTATGCTTAACAACATTCTTTTGTAGATGGTTACGAATCCAGCTCGTCAGAAGATTATCGAAGTGCTGAAGAAGATGATGTTGAGTTCAATTCTAAACTGGATTCCATAATAAATGGTTTTAGTAAAGTGCATATATTAACTCCAAAAGGTATGTAGTATATATAGCAGATTTTTTATTTGTTCAGTTATTTTTACTAATTATATTTATATACGCCAATCCACAATGTACAGTAGATTTATACATCACAATAATAATTTTATAACTTAAAAATCTACTAATATTGAATTTGAATACTAACATATAACATAAAAAATATATGTACACTTTATGCATAATACTTTGGTAACATCTAATAATTAATTGCACATATTTGTATAGATTTTATTGTATTACGGCACATTTGATTGAATTCAATTTTAACTTGTTATTTTGGCACCATGTATTTAATCTCACGATATCTTCTTGTAGAGTTATTACGTCGTTTTCACTTGTAATCTTTTTGTAAATCTTCAAATCGTCTGCATATAGCAAGTAATCGAATTTGAAATTTTTACCTATATGCGACCCTTGTGGTACACTCGAGATTGTTTAATATTCTTTTATGTATATTCAGGATATAGACTTAAATTAATTCAATTATTCAATAATTTTATGTAGTACTATTAATTGCGAGCAATGGTCATTTCTCAATAATAAAATGATAATGATTTTTTGAAATATGTTATAAAAATATTATCACAAATATTTCTTTAAGCATATGTTAATGTTTTTGGAAAATCACTCTGTTGGGTTTTTTTGTTACAAACTAGTTGTTTTAATATAAGTATAAAATTGGGTAAGAAATTTTTATTTCCTTTACAGCGAAAAAATTGAAAACTCAATTGCATAAAACTTTTAATATAACTAAAACTATTGATCCAAACTTATCACAACAATTGGCTCATGAATGCACAATTGCTAATCATATTTGGTCAGATCAGAACAACCCAAAGAAAAGTGAATTTGAGGATGCTGATGAATCATATGCATCTTTATTAAATGATTCCAGCAATGAAGCATTCACAAACATAGCCACGGATGGTATTGATACGATTAAGGAAAATGTAATACAAACAAAAGTTAAATCTGCAGGTCAGATCAAGAAAGCATATAATTTAAATGAGACATGGGATGAAGATATTAATAAAGAAAATGAAAATCCAGTCTTGGATGATTTAGCAAAAAATAATTTGACTCTGAATATTGAATATTCAAACAGTGATTTAGCAGCTAAATCAGTGGATACATCAGAAAATGCTATAAATTCGACAACTGAAAAAACATTGAAATGCTTTGATGTTGATGAAGAAATTAAGATTGATCAATTGAGCACAACTTTTAACACTCAAAGTGAATTAAACAATGAAGCATTTACAGAATCGAAAGTGATTGATCATGAAATAAATATTTCTTCTAGGAACATTGCAGATTCAGACAAGAAATGTGTAAGTAATTTAAATACTGAGAATTCTCTAAACAAAACCTTTGAAGGTAGTATTATTCAGGAGAATATAGCAATTAATCTTCAATCTGAATTAAGTAATAATAAAATTGAGTCAATCAAACTTATTGAAACAGATATAACTGACAAAAATGAACATACAATTAATTCAGATTTAAATAGAACTTGGGATGGCTCTAATATAGAAAGTGATTCCAAAATCTTCACAAATCCTTTGCCTGTGAACACACATATCACTGACAATTTAAACAATTCTACTTTAAGTAAATATCCTGAAGAAAGTACAATGATGCAACAGGGTATTAGCTGTTCAATACTAGATTCTTTAGATCATAAAATGGGCAATATTGATGAAAATATACCTGAAAATACATGTAATATTGAAAACACAATCCATGATACTTTTAATATAAATGAAGAAAATAAAAATGTAATCGACATGCACAATAAAGATCAAAATATATTATTGCATGAGCCTGAGGCTTCAGATAAAACTTTTTGTGATACTGTTGAAGCTGCTAGTGTAAGTAAGATTAGTTCTGATATTGTATCTAAAGTAATAGAAAATCAAATTGATACTATTACTACTAATAAAACACATGATGAAACTTTTAAAACCACCAATGAATTGCTATCAAATGATGTAATGGATGGCGAAAATAAAAATACAAATAATATATCTGAACAAACAGAACAAAATTCACAAACAATTGAAAACAAATTAACACTGAATGTTCTAGTAGAGTCTGCTAATTCTGAATGTGCAATTTCTAATAATTCTGATATGAACAAAGATTTCATACAAAATAATCCTAATTATGATAATTTAAGTATTGAATTTTTACAAACAGAACAAGCTTCATTGGACAATATTATTAAACAAGAATTGACCAGTGTGGTAGAAAGCAGCCAAATATCTTGCGATACTTTGATTGAAAACTCTAATGAAAAGAATAAAGAAATACTTAAGGCAACTGATCAATTAATAATAAATTCTCCTTTGCCTCGTGATGAAAATGAAATTTATAATATGGAAACTGGATCAAACTTGAATGATACAGTTACAATTGAAAATCTCCAAACACCACAAGAAGGAATTATTAATTTGAATGAAACTGTCACTATAAATGATGATACAGAAGTCAAGACAGTTGATTCTGAAGAATTTGATTTAAATGAAACACAGGTATTAAAGAAGGATGTAAATGTTGATAAAAATATTACCATTATGATAAACGATACAATAAATGAAAATATTTCTGATAAAGCTCCAATAAGAAGTATTCTAGATACAACACCTGAAAATTATGCTGACCTACAATTCAATATGTCTAAAGATACTTTAAAACTATTTGAAGATATTGGAGAAAATAATGGATCAAAAATGGATTGTGATGATAGTTTTCTCATGCAATTAAGAAGTCTACAAAATAAACCAATGACTGCCATTCAGAAAGAACAAGAAAGCAAGTGTGATAATATATTAGTTAAGATTGATGAATCAGTTACAGATGATTCTATTAATATGGGAAACACCTCTGCTATAATTGGAAGCCCTAACACTTTTTGTAAAAATGAATTTTTTGAATCAACTACAATTAGCAACAATTCAGAAGAAACCATAGCCCCAATAAAAGAAGCGAATAAATCACCTAAAGCAAGCACTACAAGCATATTCAAATGGATTGGAAACTTACTTAGTCCTGGCAAAGGCATAACTCAAGATGTTCCGCCTGCAGTTGAAGATAATGTATCTGTTTCCTCGGATAATAAAAATAATACAGTAACACAGAAGTCCTTCATAAATGATTCTAAAACAGATGGAGAATTTGCATGTCTTTCTGATGAAACACCTATAGCTGAGTTTATGAGTGTGTCAACAACTTCTGAACCATTTAATGAGGTGAGTTTATGTGCCAGAGCGCAAACGAGCTGGTAAATGTTTTTACCAATGTTTTGATTTGTTTCATTAATTTTTAATATTAATTATTTTTAATATAGAAATTTAATACTTTAAATTTATTGAATTATTGAATTTTTATTTATAGAATTATTAAACTTTTGACTGATCTCATCATTTACTTGTTATAAATCTAAGCAATGATGAACTCGTCTTTTGTTTTTACTTTAAAATTTTAAATTTATTAACTTTTTATATTTTTATAATTTTACAAAATTTTGATTGATATTATGACATGATCTTTAAATTTTTAGTATAATATTTAAAAATGCTTCATATTCTGTCAAAGGTAATAGGAATTTCAAAAATAGTTTCATAGTTTTATGCCAACAATGAAATATTCTGTATCTTATTTATTCCACATATTAGTCCCGTGGAGGAAATGATGAAAATAGTGAATTATTAGCAGAGCTTGAGCAACTAAGAAATCTAGCAAAAGAAAATGAGAAAAAAATAGAATCAATTAAACAAGAAATAAATGATCAACAAAAAACTGCTACCGATTTAGAAGAGAATACGAAAAAGCTGGAAAAGGAATTAGAAATCTTGTCTGAAAATGAGAAGATTTCAGAACAGGCTATTACTGGTTTTGAAAAACGTATTACAGAAATGAGAGTAGAAAATGAACAACTTTTGCTTAATAGTAAAGAACAATTAGAACAGATTAAAGTGGAACGTGACTCTTCTCAAACCAATTTATCAACTATTGAAAATGCCTTTTCCACACTTCATAAGTAAGTGCAAATAAGATAATTTTAGTAAATTCTAAATAATAATTTAAAATTTAATTTCTATTTTAAAATATAGAAAATATGAGCAATGCAAGAAAGCAATTGAAACTATGAAATCAAATCAAACTGTACTACAAAATTTGAATTCACAATTAAGGGAGATTGCAAGGGAACAAGATTTAAATTTGTCAGCACTGCAGGAACATGCGACTAAACAAATTGAAACGTAAGTAGCTTATCATTTTCATAATGATTTATTATTTCAAAATAAAACTCATTATATAGATTAGTAATGCAATGCTTAGTCATACTGTAACTTAGTAATATATTTTGTTTACATACAATTTTGTTATATTGCATTTAATATAAGTGTACAAATATTTCAGTGCTAAAGCAGATTATGAAAATACGGAACACCAGCACAAAGTTGAAATGATACGATGGACTGCTCTAATAAAGAAAGCCGAACTACAAAAAACTTCTCTAGAAGAAGCAGTGGAAAAGAAAAAGCAGGAAAATGCAGAATTGTTGCAGTTATGTGATGTATTGATTCAAAAAGTAGGCTGATAATTTTTGTGATCAATTTATTTTTAAACTAGTTTTTAATGTACAAATGTTATTATATTATTTTATTAAATACTTTATTTCATTGGATGTGTGCGTTTTCAACTTAAGTGGAAATTATTCTCATATGTTTTTGGGCATTCTATTCATTGGGGCAAATTTTGAAAAAGATCTAAAAAAATGTAAAAACGCATATACAAAATTTGTATCTTTGAAGGTTTGAATGCTACTTTTCCATCACTATCTCAAGAGGATAAGTGAAACAATTTGAATGATTATGTATGTATGTATGTATATATATATATATATATATATATATATATATATATATATATATATTCTCCAATTCCACTTTTTATTTTTTAGAAATGATTCAATTACTAAATTAACTATTGAAAGCTATGGGTTTGTGGTTTAAGATTGAAAATTTAGGGGTGCTGTATTTTTTTATGCCACATTATAAAAAAAAAACAGCAGTAAGGGTAATTTTTCTTTAAAGGAAGTTGCATAAACTTTCCAGCACATGTAATTAATCGGCTTAATGAATAAATTGAGATTTAGCTATTAAGATAAAAATTTGAATTATAATACTAAAGTGTAATACGATTTTCAGTTGAAAATTTTTAAACAGAATTCTAATAACTAATACTAATAATATTAAAGCACGAAAACGTGTCTGTATGTTCTATGTTACTTTTCCAAACTTTAATTCATTTTTATAATTAGATCACTTTGTGGGACTATAATATTTTAGGATATTTGTTAAGACTAAGAACTTCATTGTTATGTTATGTTTCAGTAAAATTGCCGAAACTACTTCTTACCTTTTAACTAATAATATGCATATGATTCTCAACTGATATCTTTCGAATGGCTTTTAAATTTTTGAAATTGGTTCAGGATTTTTGACTAAAAGTTGGACGAAAAATTTTTGCTAATTATAAATAAACAGCTCTTAATTTTTTTAACTTGGTGCAGCCGCTTTTTGAGAAAACGTCGACGAACAATAAAATTTTGGCTCACACACACACACGTACGCATGCTCTTCAAATTTGGTCTCAAACGATTCGGATTGACGACAGAAAATTTCCAGCAGAAATATTTATTCTTTTTTTTGTTAATTTGGAAATTTAATAAAATAAGATAAAAATCTTAATGAATCTAAGGATTGTACAAAACCCAACTACTTAGGGATATATTGCAGATTCTTATCGCTCATCTATAGAATGTGAACAAACAATTTCATATAAATCGGTAAAGCCATTTCGGAGAAGCATAAAGACAAAATATGTAATATTGTCGCAGGTGTCGAGTACGTTTCTCTGCTTATTGCTCCACGTGATTTCCCACTTTTTTTACTATTACGTTGCCCCCTTATAGGCGGCAACCGGTAATTATACTCACTTGTAAATATTTCTTAAACGCGTGGTCGTAATAAGTCGCTTCTGTCCATTTCGTTGTTTGATCTTTCACTGTAAATGTATTTGAACTTTCATTGAAAAACCTCATTTCTTGATTATGAACGTGGCTTGAATAACGGTTTGCAATAACTGTGTCATGTCCCATTAATATTTACATAAATACGTTAATATAATTAATTATTCAACAATATTACTTGATAACAGCCTTATTTAGCTGAATCAGCAATCAATGAGAAAAAAAATCGACATAAATTACGTTAATTCAGTTTGTTAGTTTTTACACATAAAGAAACATTTGAAATAACTTTTATTAAATTTTTATTAAATAATATACTTTTAAACAAATACAAAAAATTAACAAAATAAATAATCTTAACCAAGTTATCAACACATGAAACCAATAAATATAGTTGTATAAATATAACAATAAATAATCAAACAGTATATGAAAGTAATGATTAGACAACTAAAACAGTTTCCATTTATATATAACTAACTAATTCAAAATCACTGTTGCTCTCTATTCAATCTTTCTTGCGTTATGTCGACCCTATATGGAGATGATCTGTCTTCTATAATATCTGAATCTGCTGATTTTTTGCTTGATTTTTTCAATAACATTGACAATAAAGCAGTTGTGTAAGGTCCTGGTAAAGATTGCTGAGTTGCAGCCGTTGGTACAAAAACTACCAAAATATTACGCAGATCCGCTTGCACGTTCACGTCGCCTTCCTGGTGTCGATCGTATATCATTTTACCACTTCGAACCTCCGATGATAATAGAAAAATACACGCACAAACCATGCATATTGCATTAAACTTTGCCATAATTAATTAATCAAATTAATATTTAATATATTTGTTCGTCCTCAATATACTTCTCGTGTATTTCGCTCAAGAGGAAACTGTATAATGTGGCATTGAACTTTGCTATAGCGAGCGCTGTCTGCCTGTTGACATGGAAAAAACTCGTTTTAGTTATAAAAAGTATAAATTGACACCATTTGATAGTTGGATACAGTTTCTTCTTCAGTTATTGGTAATTTCACAATAATTTACGGATTATTTGACGGTATCTCATTGCATAGAATCCAGCAGGACCGAAGATTCACGTGACAATTCCATTAGGAAGCTGATACATCCTAGATGGAATTTTGCATAGTAGACTAGGAGAACTTTGTTGCCAAATTGTTGACTATATTGTAATTTTTCGAAAATTTTATTTAGTTCAATACGTTTGGAATGTTTATCATATTTAAATCTATGTTAGAAAATATTAGTTTAATTTCTCTAAATACACAATTAACAAAAACATATTTAATAACAAATATTTCCAAACTTGTTGTGTAAGTTATAATGAAACCTTTTTCAAATTTTCTTGTGTTATATCAACTCTATAAGGTGATTCCCTATCTTCAATTTCGTTGCTTGAATCCTTTGCTGATTTGGTCAGGTCCTTTTTCTGATCCGGAAGCGGAAATCCCGCTTTTGTTAAAAGCCACTCGAATGGGCTGGCCGGTAAGGTTGGAATGCTTCCTAAGGACTGCTGCGGTGGTTTTGGAGTTTTATCATCTAAAGATCCAAACAACACCATTATATTATCAAAATCTGCTTGCACATTTACTTTAGAATTTTCCTGATGCCTGTCGTAAGTGAAGGTGTCCGGGCGCGCTGCAACATAAACCAGGATACAAGCACAGAATATAAGATACTTCATGGTGCAATTAGGAGGTGATTAACTTTGATCTTAGATTTTTTTGTCGGAACACACCTGGCTTGCGTACGGTTCGCGATAAGACTGCGATGGCATTGAACCTTCTCACTCTTCGTGACTCTCATCGTTTTCTTTGACCTGCTCAGCTACTAGACTTGATATTAGAGATGACAGGTGCACATCGAATTGAGCATCTTATATCGAAAAATAAGAAATAACTTTGAAGAAAAATTGCATTCGAAGTTTTTATTTTAAGCATTCTCGTTGAATTTTCAATATAAGGCCATGGGTGCCAAATATATATATGTGTGTGTGTGTTGATGAAACAAAATACTTCTTGAACAGGCGACCAGATAATAAAATTTAAGAGAAAACTAAATTATGTTTCTAAAAATAATTTTAATTTTTCATACCTTTCGAGTCGAAGATTGAGTATTTAGAAATAATATAAAAAAGTTAAATCTATCAAAATAATAACAAAAATATAATATTATAATACAAAGTAAAACTAATATAAGGTTTATAAATTACACAAACCAAAAAACATTCTATAAAGCATAAGGATGAAATAAAACTAGTGGGGCGCATGGCATCGTGCTTTAAGGCAAATTGCTGGAATACTGAATGTTTTCAAATAGATTATTATAAATTCTGTGATATCGTTTAATATTTATAAGAATTATATAAACTGAATTGCAAAGTTGAAATTATTTGTTTGAAGTATATCAGAACTTTAGTCAGAATTATAACTAAAATCTGAATTATTTTCGATATACAAATTTTTTTTTTTTGAAAAAAAAAATTTTGAAACAAAATTTTTTTTTTTCCAAAATAAATTATTTTGTTGAAACAAGCTCTTAAATCATTCAAATCGGACGCTTAGTTCTCTCAAAAACTGCCATTTTTGCACATTTAGCTCCGTATCTTTGAAATGGCTGGGCCTGCCTTTGCCAAAAACTAATAATCACTTCTCCCAATCATTATTAATTGAATGTTTTTTAGATCATTCAAATCGGATGCGCCGTTCTCTCAAAAACTCGATTTCTATTTTCTGCACTCTTTGCTCTTTATCTTCGTAACTGCTGGACCTGCCTTTGCCAAAAACTAATCAGCACATCTACCTATCAAAAGGAATTGAATGTTTTTTGAACCATTCAAATCGGTTGATCTGTGCGTCCGAAAACGTGAACGAAAAAATGCGGACACACAAAACACACACACACATCCATTTTTTCTGAAGTATGCCAAAATGTTCAGAAACCTTCAAAACGTCGAGAAATGCAAAAATTTTCAATTTCGATTTTTGGACGATTACAATAACTTACCCTACGGGAAGTTAATATTTATTTATTAACAATAACTTACCCTACGGGAAGTTAATAATTATTTATTAACTTCCCGTAGAGTAAGTTATAGTAATGCGTCGAAAATCGAAATTGAATTTTTTTGCATATTTTCACGTTTCAGAGGTTTCTGAAATTTTGGCATACCTCAGAAAAAATGGATGTGTGTGTATGTGTGTGTGTGTATGTATGTATGTATGTATGTATGAATTCAATTTTTCGTTTTCGGGCGCACGGATCAACCGATTTGAATGGTTCAAAAAACGTTCTATTCCTATATCGATAGGAAGATGTGCTGAATAGTTTTCGGCAAAGGCAGGTCCAGCTGTTTCGGAGATACCGAGTTAGATGTGCAAAAAATGTCAGTTTTTGAGTGAACTAAGCATCTGATTTGAATGATTCAAAAAACTTTCTGCTTGTTTTGACAAAATAATTGCTTTGGGAAAAAAATTATTTCAAATTTTGTTTGCTCAAAAAAATAATTGTTTTTGCATATCGATTCAGATTTCAATTTTAATTCTGGCT